GGAATGTATAAAACCATACTAGATATATATATTATACACATATGAACATTCACGGTTCTACAATCTGTCGATACTTTTATTTTGGCACCAACTGGTTATGTTTTTCTCTGACTGTAAATGACGTCTATACAATAAATCCATTGGTTGTTGGATGTGTACTGATAGATATTTTGAACTTATATACATGCTTTCTTTATAAGTTGTTATTGGTTTTTAACAAGATTTCAATAAATGCGAGTACTCTCAGATCTGTTCTTTGTGTCTTTTGTTGTGAGGGATAAATTCCCTGCCACGTCCGGTCTGTGTTTTTGTTTAATGTTTTTCTGCTGTGTATTGATCTGATGTGTTCAGCCCATTTCAACTGAATTTTACAGTTTGTGCTTATGTTGTACTGTAACACCACTGTCCAAGATTAGGGGAGGGTATGGTGCCAGCAAACATTTTTAACCCGCCTTTCTTCATGTGCCTGTATAAAGTTAGGACCATGTATTTCAGTGGTTTTCGTTTGTGCATGTCTGTCATATTTGATTTTTGTAAATTGTTTTGTTCTCAATTGAATTGTTTCATATTTTTTCATGTCGGGTTCTTTTATAGCCGACTATACGGTATGGTTTATTTTCTCATTGTTGAAGGTCGTACTATTGTCTAATGGCTTACATCCACTTCTTTTGAACTTTGGTGGATAGTTGTCTCATTGGCAATGGTACCGCATATTCATGGTCTCCTTATTTTTATATTCATGCGTTTTACCTGCGGCAACATAGTCAATAAGCCAAAACTAAGTGTCAGACTGTTTGTTTAACTTTATGACATTATACTTGTCACAAACAAGAGAGATATATTTCTGGAACGTTTATTCCGTCAACTTTTTATAGTTAGATAAGACATATCAAATATCAATAATCCCAGTGCAAAAGGAGCAAACATACCAATGAAGAGTATTTTTCCACTGATATAAAATTGAATTATTTTTTTCTTTTAACTTAAGAAAAGTTTCTGCTGGGGCAACTATATTCTAATTTTGAAATATCAGAAGATGTATCACTAAAAAAACTACAGCAATCGAAAGATGAGAGGTGGTATATATTTCCATACACATGCATACAGAACTACGTAGGCAAAATAGTCATCCTTGTGCACAAATTTATTAATTCTGAATTGGCTAACTTGCTGATTTCAATTCACAAGGGAAAAAGCTGAAATACATACTTTTGACTAAAACAATTTTATTTTCCGTCGGGAATCAAACTCTCTTTCTATAATGAATCAAACACATCAATTAAACCTTTTGGCTACCAATTTATATTTTATACAATATAATAAGCATGCATTCTTGTTGACCTCGTCATCCAAGATTATTGTCAACGGAAATGAATACAGAATTGAGAAAGATGAGCAAAATTTATATGTAAAAGATACTTTCGTTTTCTTTAATAACACGAAAAGTACCAATGTTACTGCACGAGATGCAAATTTCCATAATTAATGTCTCTTCAGTGAAGATCGAAGCCATCATAATTTTTGAAAATCCAAAACGTAATACAAACGTTGAAGGGTTAATAAAACAAAAAAGAGCAAAAGAAAAGCCGATACCTTATAAAAAAATCAAATCTAAGATTTAAGTTTGAAGTCACGAGGTTAAGACGAATTTAAGAGTTAATGTTAGGTTTAAAATTAATAAACGTAAGTTCGATTTTCCGTTTCACTTTTTCAGCTTATATAATTAGCTGACTAAAGGGTCAAACTGCGTTATTTTAATCACTTGGTGTCTGTCGTCCGCCGTGGTTGTCCTCCGCTAACGTTTACAAAAATATTCTCCTCTTAAATTACTGGAGCAATTGGAACCAAAAGTGGCCACAATCATCATTGGGTATCTAGTGCCCAATGTTCCTGCATTTTAACCAACATTGCCGACATGGCTAAAAAAAGAATATAGGAGAAAATGAAACTTTTGTTTATAATTTTGAAAAACCACTATTTAAAGAATAACCTAAAGAGGCATAAATCTGGTGATTTACCTACTGATCATTTACACCAAAACTGTCAGCCGACTCTTTATAGGAGTTATCGCCCTTTTTTGTATTTTTGAATATTATTTTGAAAACTTTTATAGATAAAGAGAAGCTCTAGATTGTAAAACCTTTCATCAACGCATGATATAAGAAAAATCAAAACATTGTTGAAATCGTGAGTCGGCTTTTTTTTTAGAAGTTATTGCCCCTAATTGACGATTTTTACCAATTTTATGCGTTTTTTATTTTTTTTATCTTGGAAACTATAACAGATAAAGAGAAATATAGATTCCACCACTGTAAAAAATGTGTTACGATATTTTTCAACTTTAAGTGCGATGCTTGCCGATCTTTTTAAATAATTAAAGTTTAACTGTTGAGAGTGGAGAAATATCGTAATACACGAGTTATAGTGGTTGAATCTACTTCTCTAATGACTTTATCCTTACTTTGCAAAGTTGAGTATTTTATTTGTGACGTCTTCAGGCATGGTCGCCTTTTTTCATGACGTCACAATATTAAATTCAGAAGAAACCAAGAAAATTTGACGTCATAATTAAATTTCGACCAATCATTTGCCGAGAACAAATATTTCACTAGTGAGGTCAGGAGAACAATGTTTTCACAATCGGTTGTGAAATGTGAAAATAGTTAAAAAATTAGAGAAACTTAAATTAAATTTAACAGGACAAGATCTTTCAATTTGTTTACATTGCCGAAATCGTAGGTTGATTCTTATTGAACTTGTTGCCTCTAAATGACAAGTAAACACCGTTTTTTAATTTTTTTTTGTATATTTGGCCAAACATACAGTAGATAAAGAAAAACTATTACCAGCCTACAAAAAAAACAGGATAATTTCTACACATTTGTTAAGATGACCAAAATTATCAGTCAATATTGTGTAGGAGTTATTGCCCTTTAATTATCTTTTTTTTATCCAGTTTTTGCATATTATACAAAAACTTAAATAGATTTAAAAAGAAATGATGAATTTTACCTTTTTTATATGTTATGCAAAAAACTATAGTAGATAAAGACAAACTGTGAAAGCAAACATGATCAGTAAGACAAGATCCACAAATTGGTCAATACAGCTGAAAGCCTACTTCTTGTAAAAGTTATTGCCCTTGAATGACTATTTTTACTCATTTGTTTTATTTTGGTCAAGAACTATGGATGATGGACAGAAAAGGACAGAAAAATTAGCAGCAAAACAAGATTTACAAAACATAGATTTAAGTCATGAATTATATCTTAGTCTTTAATGTTGAAGAGCGGCCATTATTGAAAATGCACATAGATCTTGGTCATAGAACAGAAAGTTTTCTGTGATTGTTTTGGCTATTTCACATATTTTTAAAGGTATTATTACACTTTCGAATTTGTAATCGGAATTTCAACAGTTTCTAAACAGTATACTTCCAAATACATATTTGTATCTAATGAATGTAAATTTACATATATATATATTTTGTAAAATACATTTAAATTTCTAATTATAATAATTCAACCGAAATTCAAGTCAGGAAACTAATTGTTCGTTCAAGTGCGTAGGATTTTGTTTTTTATATTTTTATCATGATTTCAATCGTCTTATTGCTTGTTTTTGTCAGTGCATAGTTTAAGAGAATTGCGTGGTTATCGAAGCTTATCGATAAAAGGGCATAATTAAGAAAATAATTATAAAAAGACGTCACAGCAATTGTTCAAATAAAGGGCACAATGGATAGGCGTTACTTCATAAAAAGACATTTTAAGTACATTTAGCCAGCTCTCGGTACCTTAAATCATTTTCTAGTATCTTAATTGACGTTTAGAAAACAACAACCAATCAATCTAATAGATTATCATTTAGTATTATCCACTTATCGTTGTGTTTGTTGGTATTGTTGAAATAAGCGCCTCTTGTGCACTGCATTTTATGACGAATTTATACTTACACCTTTGGTAATATAATTGATGAGAAATAAAAGAAGAAAGGTTGAGCATTCTGGAAATTATTGTTACATCACAAATGTGTCTGTCCCATTTAAGAAAATTCTTCAATGTTTGTGTTTGTTTATTTGTTTGTGTTGTTAATGAGAGATCGTTGTTTTTCGCTGTTTAATTATTTTACATTTTGTCTGGACGATTTAGAGCTTTACATTTAACATTTTTGATAAAAACTTTCTGTTGACCTTATGATGTTCCTTTTGGTCCTGAAATTGTTTGCAGGCTGTCTTATTGACATATATCCCATTACTCCTTATTTCATAAAATAAAATATTAATGCCACTGTCGGAATGAGGATTATCTGATTATACGCCAGTTTTTTGCGGGGCTCGTTTTGATCGATATTTAGTTTTCTGTTAAGTGTGATGTGGACTGTTTTTTTTCACTTTTCGTCGTTTTCTATTTGCCATGGACTGTTGTTCTTATACTTCTGATTTTTTGTTGACACCCTTTGTATGGTATTTTCTTTTTTATATCATGAATGTAATGATGCTAGCGTATTTTACATCTGCTTCAAGTCATATCTTCCAGACTTCACGTCGTTGATCCTTTTTACATAAGACGCTTTGTTAAATTGATTAAATTCCAACATAAGTGAACAAAACATAAGACTTCATGTAATACGTACATCAACATCTCGTTTAGTAATTGCATTGCAAGCATGTACATTGTATTTTATTTTTAGAATTCTTTTGTAAAACATTTTCATGTAAATGAAAACAACAACGTGTATCAGTACACAAAAATATGATCATGCCATTATTTTTTTTAAAGATGTTTTCGATCTATTGACAATTCTAAATAACAAAGAAACAAAGAAACCTTTGATATATTATAAGCTATATATACAATACGTTCTATATATTTTTGTGCTAATAGTGCAAATTTATAAATCTTGCCAAAATTATCGTTTAGTTAAAAAGGAACGTATTATTTTGCAGCTAAGATTTGCCTGTCACAACATAATGTTCTTATTGATACTTAAGGTTATACTGGTGTCGACTGTGAGACAGAAATAGATGAATGCTCATCAAACCCATGTAAAAACGGCGGGAGATGTGTTAACGATATCAACAAATTTTCTTGTTCCTGTCTCCAAAATTATACCGGAAGATACTGCAATTGGGGTAAGAAGGAAAAGTGGAAATTGGACGGGGCGATTTTATTGATTTTCTTCTTAAAACTCAATTTCTAGGCAATCATTTAAAGCAATTATCTATGGTCATTAATTTCTTGTTTGTCTAGTTTGATAAAATAGGTACTAACAATTTTAAAAGTAAGGGCTTTTCCTGTAATAGTTAACATCATTTGAACACCAACTATTATATTCTTAATGCACTTACAACAAATTACTGGTGTATGTATGTCGACAATGTTTAAAACAGTTATTGAAAAAGGATAAGAATTCAGAAATAAAATACCCGACTGTGCTTAAGGAGAAAGGAGCTTCTTGAGAGGAAACTTAAAATACGTAATATATATATTTTTTTCATTTCAGACCCACAACAAAAACAAAAGGTATGTGCATATTATTGTAGTCATCCAATTTAAAGTTTTTGATTTTTTGCATGATTATTAAATTAAAATATAACCCTCACCTTTATTGCAAAAAGTTATAACTGTTTGCTGAGGTTAAACACTGGATGATACGCTACCCTGTATAGCTCATTTCTAAAGCAAGTGCCCTCTTCATGTTACATGAACACAAACTCATTTATTATACTTCACGTAAAAATGCAATATTTTGATTGGCTTATACGAGGGTGTTAATTTACTCTATTCTATGGTAAATACTCTATTACCCTTCACGGAGACGCTTGATCAAGTGTGCGCTTCATTAAATACGGATGGTTGTTATGTACAAGACGTCATAGTTTATTACTTTGAATTTGAAATTTAATCGACAGTAATAACAGAACATTCAGTATAATATATTAAATAATACATATCTGAGAAGGTGATAGAGCAGATTGTTACCCCTCGAAAAAACATTGTCAACCTTGGCTTCGCCTCAGTTGACAATGTTTTCTCGGGGTAACAATCTGCTCTATCACCTTCTCAGCTATGTGTTATTTATATAATATTACAAAAAAGGCGCAAGATACCAAGGGACATTCAAAATGCACTAGTCGTAGGAAATCTAACAACGTCATGGCAAAAAAAAAAAGAAAGACGACGAAACAATAAACAAGTACGCTTATAACTATATAGAATATTAAACCACTAGTGACATTCGTCATGTTGCTCTTTGTAAGTACAAATTCTGAGGTCCGAGGAAATCACAACAATAATGATCCAATGAACTAAAGCATGAATTATATACTCTTCCTAAATGTTGCTCATACTATTTAATGAATTACTTTTATTGTTTGTATGGTTTACTCGATAATAAGAGATACATATGTATTTTCAATGCGATTCTTGATTCTAGTCATCAGTTAACTCGTACCATAATATGGTTTGAAAAGCCTATATATATATACATATAAAGAGGCAACAGTGGTTTACCGAAGATAAAAATCATAAATCCGTTTTAGATATATACGACCAAGATATTAAAACTGAGATCGTATGAACGCAAAACGGAACGAAACACAGTAAGCGGCCCTTGCTATGCATGCATCACCCGATAAACAAATCCAACCTCAGTCAAAATATCACGATAGGGGAATGGACACTCGGTTGGTTTACCGATCATATTTGTTTCTTCTTGTATCTTAATATTTTGACCGCGAAACATGTCCTCCGTGAGTATAGACACGGACACGTCGTATCGCTCACCGATTAGAGATGATGACGGAAAAAAACTTTTGTAATGTCGATTTCAATCGTTTTTCCTCACAACCCTGCTGTTAGCACCAGCTCACCCATTCAATAGGAGCATGCCTGAATTGCCTATCAATTGAGATGTAACTGCCATAAGATGGTGCAGATGGTATGTTACTTCTTAGAAATGGGAAGCTAAAAATGAAAAAAAAACTGTATGCGTTACATTTGTCGGAGCACTGTTCGAAGTCCTATTGGCAATATCCTAACGGTCATGTGAGAGCATTATAACCAATAAAGGCATACAAAGAGTATTCACAATCAGATTATATCAAATTGGTTAGAGAGGTTCAATATTGTTTTAGTACAATTACATAATGTGTCAACTGGAAATTTAATATGAAAAAGTAAAATTATAAAAATATCGAACTCAAAGGAAAATTCCAAACGGAAAGTCCTTAACAATGGCAAATTCAAAAGCTCAAACACACATCAAACGAATGGAAAACAACTGTCATATTCATGACTTGGTACAGGCATTTCCTTTTTGTAGAAAATGGTGGATTAAACCTGGTTTTATAGCTAGATTAACCTCTCATTTGTATGAAAGTCGCATAAAATTCCAAATGTATAGTTTTTCATATGTCAGCATCAATCCTCTGACAACTGGAATGATGGTATCATTGGGACATACTGTCCATCTTTAGCGTACTAACTCAGATGTAGAAAAATAAATGTTCGACCCGGATTTCAGCGCGCACGGCAAGTGTTTCTTGAACTAATCATTCAACACTTACTCAAAAACATATGTCTTGAAAGCCATCAATGTAAATTAACAATATCTTGCAAGGTTACAAGAGTCGGCATCACAGCTTTTTGCAATTATGGTCTGGGTCCGCTTCTTGCACAAAATTATAACGTTGTTCTTAAACAGCAATTTTAAACGATGCATGCAAAGAACAGCGTAAAAACTTCATGAAACGTAAATAAAGTAAAACAACAAATCTATCATTTTTGCAGATGTTCCTTACTTTATTGTTTATTTGTTTCCTACTGTTTACGGTCCTCTGGAATATAATGAAAGACAATTAAATAAATAACAAAGCAAGTCGAAATATACAGACTAGTATGCATAACAAACCGGAAGCAGATTTGTTTTTATTGTGCAAGAAAAAAGATACTTTGCAAATATACGGAACTAGAATTACACTTTTCATCTTGTTTATTTGGACTGGATGATATATTGCACGTTGCTACGTTTTATATTAGTAAATTGAAGATTTGCATAATTTCTGTAATAGGTTATTCGTTGATGACTTTTTACAACCCCTGGATGGTTACAACTGCTGGTAGACGTTTCGCCACCTCTAAGAATGTCACCAGCCGAATGAATAGTCAACTCGTTGTTTCAGACATAAATGTAATACTAATGCAGTCATTTTCTGTTAATTTACTGCGTATAAGATGGCAAAATTATTTAAAAAAATATTTTTCTTATCCTAGGCATGACAAGAGAAATTATTTGCACAACTTTTGGAATTTTTGGTTCTAAGTGTTCTTCATCTGAACTTCGTGAATGATTTGACTTTTCAACAATCAACAAGTCAGGAATACGACAGTTGTTTTCCATTCGTTTGATGTTTTTGAGCTTTTGATTTTGCCAATTGTAAAGGGACTTTCCGTTTTGAATATTTTTGTTGTTTTACTTTTTGATTCCAGTGCCTCTGATAAGTCACATCAAACGCCCAGCTGTAGAACGTATTTATAAGCCTGATACTTTTGAAGAATTTCAATATCACTTGTGTCATCAACTCATTTCTATTTAAGTCTTGTATAGTTGGTGAATATAAGGAAGCATACTCAGTAAATCAGTTATAAACTTATAGAAGCTCTGAAGGCAACGGACAAACAAAACGATTTCTTCAACTTATATTTTCAGAAATCGATATTTAATATAATTCAAAAACTTGATTAACTAGTATTTTTTTCAGAATTCAGAGATATGGCCATTGGTGGTTGCCTCCATTTGTGGAGCGGCAGCACTAGCCGGGGCAACAGCTTGTTGTTGGTGGTGTTTGTGTGGAGCGGCAGCTAATCGGCGAAAGCGAGAACGGGTCCACCCAAAACCCCGTTCCGTGGAAAATAATGGAGTTGCACATAACAATGTTACATCAATAAGGAAATAAATTGATACTCAAACAACACAGGGAGCCAAGAGTCGATTTCCCCTGACTGGTACTGAGTAAATCTGCATCAATAAGAAACCCTCTGTTCATTGGCATGCATACTTTATCTTCTGTTATATATTATCCTAAATTTCTATATGTACTGAATGGATTCATTTGTCAAGTAGATATCTGTGTCGTCAATAAATCATGTTTTTACGTGTTTTGTTTTAAATAGTTTTAAACACTTCGGTGTTGACATGAATATCAATTATATGGTCATTTCTTATAAACTAACTGTTTGCAAAAGTATGAATTATTCGAAATACAAAGGATTTTCTTATCCCAGGCCTGGATTACCTTAGCCATATTTGGCACAACGTTTTGGAATTTTGAGTCCTCAATGCTCTTCAACTTTATACTTGTTTGGCTTTATTACTATTTTGATCTGAGCGTCACTGATGAGTCTAATGTAGACGAAAGCGCGTCTGGCGTATTAAATTATAAGCCTGGTAACTATTTACTACCGAGTACGTCAGTATATTTACGTTTGAGCGTTCTTGAAGAAGGTAAATCCCAGTTTCTTGAAGTGTATTGAATATTCTATGAATTTTAAAACTCATAATAATATTTTTGTCAAAACGAGACTTTTCTAATTAAATTCTGGAATAACGTCTCATAATGTTTGTCTGAAGCAGAGTTACTACAATAAAATACTTACATCTAAACACGATCAACATCATGCATGTGATGATTACCGGCAAAAATACTCCACGGGAGCATTCCAACCAAATACAAATAACACTTAATAAAGTTGGTTTCTCCGAAGCGCATTTATTGATTTATCTTCGTTAGGAAAGCTAAAACTCAAAAATCTGAAATGCAATGGTGAATACATTCGAATACTTGAGAAAAAGTGATAGAAAAAAACCAACAGACAAATAAGTGTCAAAAGGAAAAATCAATGTACAGAGCTCTTCAGTTGTACTAATGAAATAGGGCGTAAAACAAAGTGTCCATATTTAAGATTAAGCGATAAAATTATCTCATTAAATCTTTGAAACATGGCATAAATTTCCCCTTAATTGAGTTCTTTAACGAACAGAGCGATAATACCTTCTTACGTATATCTTAAATCTATTTTGACCTAACAAACTGCGTGTTCAAACATCACGCACAAACAACAGGACACCTATTAAGAAATTTGTTGTAAGGTTTTTTCTCTCGTATAAACAGCTTGACACGTGTCTCAAAGTCAAGTTGTCTGATCAGATTGAGCATGGTTCCCGCTCTTGATTTGTTATTTGTCCCTAAACATGCAGTTCAATTTTTACATGAAATTGGACAGTTGTTTGTTTTCCTTGGAAATCTTATCTTCTGAAATACATTATTGAATACATAAAGCAATCCACAGAAAAACAGAGATTAATGAATAACTTATCTTTTTTTCTTCGAATGTCAAATATTTTATACGTATTCAGGATGAAAACAAATTGACAATAAATTCGATATGATTAATAATTGCATGCTATTGTTTCTCCTTAACATCATAATAATCTAACCACGTGCACCAAAGAAAAAAAAGAGAGAAAGAGAGGTTAATACATGCAGAGATGAACATAATGTTGAAATAAACCGAGAGTAAATTGCACTGCCTTTCTAACAATTATGTTCAATTACAGTGAGTAGAGTTTGTTTAAAAAAAACGTGAAATGAAATTGGTCATGAAAATAATAAGCGTTAACAAAAACTAACAATCAACTGACATTATGACATCAACAATATACAAGCTGTATTTGGCAAAACCTTTCGGAATTTTGGGTCTTCAATGCTCTTCAGCTTCGTACTTTATTTGGCCTCTTTGACTTTTTCGATTTGAGCGTCACTGGTGAGTCTATGGTAGACGAAACGTGCGACTGGGATACAAAATGTTAATTCTGGTATCTATGATAAGTTTATGTCAGTTAACTGCTAGTAGTCTGTTGTTATTTATGTATTATTGTCATTTTGTTTATTTTCTTTGGTTACATCTTCTGACATCAGACTCGGACTTCTCTTGAACTGAATTTTAATGTGCGTATTGTTATGCGTTTACTTTTCTACATTGGCTAGAGGTATAGGGGGAGGGTTGAGATCTCATAAACATGTTTAACCCCGCCGCATTTTTGCGCCTGTCCCAAGTCAGGAGCCTCTAGCCTTTGTCAGTCTTGTATTATTTTTAATTTTAGTTTCTTGTGTACAATTTGGAGTTTAGTATGGCGTTCATTATCACTGAACTAGTATATATATTTGTTTAGGGGCCAGCTGAAGGACGCCTCCGGGTGCGGGAATTTCTCGCTGCATTGAAGACCTGTTGGTGACCTTCTGCTGTTGTCTGTTCTATGGTCGGGTTGTTGTCTCTTTGCCACATTCCCCATTTCCATTCTCAATTTTATTATATATAGAATATAGAATACAGCTATAATCCGTTTTCGACAAAATATCATTTATACAGTTTTCCATTTATTTGAAACATTTAAACAGTATTAACTTCATGATAAGTAAATCAAATGGTTATATTTCATTACTAGCAATTTAACACATTCAATGGTAGTGCTTGGAATAGACGTTTCATTTTAACCCCAAACTTAAGATAGAAAATACCAACAAAAGCTGTTGATTTGAACAATTGATGGAAATATCTGGAAAACCCAATTTTGTTGTTTTTTACTTAAATTCAGATGCTGTGCATGTATCTGTTTCAAATAACTATAAGCTATAATTTATCTATTTTTTACGTGCATATAAAAACAAGTTCAAGTCATCGAATCGAAAAATCCATTAGGAAAGTAAATTGGTAGTAATTATTTTCCCTTATTGGTTTATTTGAACCATATTAATTTTTAATATTTAATTTACCACTTATGAGTTTCTTTAGAAATAGTAGAATGTAAAGGCTAATAATTATTTATTGTAGGATAACTAATGTATATTTCCTTTTAAAATGCAAGTTCCATTACTTCGAATCAACGCAAATGACTTCGAACCCAATTCTCTTTCAATTTGCGTCAATTAACACTTAATACATGATTGCCATAACTACTTTTATTTCTGTAGAGCAGATCAAATATAACATTTTTTTGTTCTGTAAACGGGATACACAAACTTAAGATGATTAGGACTATTTTTTTAATAATTTTAATTTCTATTTGTACAGCAAACATAGAAGTAGGCTCGTTAACAAGTAATACATACAGAGATGCCTACGTTATAATTATTTATGACAAAACAGGTCTAAAAATGTGTGGACGTTACTGCAAAAAACAGGAATCTTGTGTTAGTATCAACTTTAACCCCGAAACTCTTGTTTGTGAGCTTCTGAAGGCCGGCGGAACTAGTATGACAAGAGCCGGTAACTTCTATAGCTCAGATATTACGAGCTGGTCTATGGTAAGTTTCTGAGTGTTTTATTTATGTTCAGTGTAAAAATAAGACGATGTGGTATGATTGCTAATGACACAGCTCTCCACCAGAGACCAAATGACGTAGAAGTTAACAATAGGTAACCGTAGGGCCTTCAACAATGAGCAATACCTAAACCACGTAATAAGCTGTAAAAGGCCCCGAAATGACAGAGATTAAACAGATCAAACGAGAAAACTTACGGCCTGATTTATGTACAATATAATAAACGAAAAACAAATATGATAAACAGCAACAAACAACGACTAAATTCAAAACTACTGACTTACGACAGGCACATACAGAATGTGTCGGGGTTAAAAATGCTTACAGGCGGCAAACCCTCCCCCTAATCTTGAACAGTGGTGTAACAGTACAACATAAGAACAAACTATAAAAATCAGATTAAAAAGGCTTAACTCTTCACATCGACACAAAACTAATACACAAAAGACACACATTACAGATCTGAGATTACTCGCAGTTACTGAAAGCTAGTTCAAAGACAAAAACAACTAATTTAAAAATTATGCATTAAGACTAAAATATCAATCAGAATACATCCAATGGATTAAGTGTATATACGTCATTAACAGTCTGAGAAATCATAACCTTGAGCAATGCAAACATATAGGTATCGACATATTGTAAGACTGTAAAGGTACATATGTGTATAACAATAATATTTAGTTGAGTTTTAATTAATTGATAACAAAATCAATATTTATACCCATAAAAACAATATTCACTACAGTGTTGATTGGTAACCTTTTAGAACAAGTTTATTCAAAGGATCGATAAGTTTAAACGGATCGTATCTAAATTTACGGGCTCGGTAAACACATCACCGTAAAAATTAGGATTTGCTATTCCGTTTGTAATAATTTTCTACAGGTACAGCCAACTTCCAAACCAAATCTTTGTATCTATGAGGAATTAAGTAAAAATTTTAAGTAATTTGTGGTAAAGAAATCCTTTACCCAATAATTTAACAGTTATACATTAATTGCGTTCACTAAAAACGAAAACGTCTTTACAGAAACGGGCATAGCGAATGAGTTTGGATATATAAACACCGTAAGAAGGTGTGAAAGGAACATTAACGCCCACAGAAGAAAAAAATAACAAAAGGGAACGAAAAAACGTCCTTTTTGTCGTAAATATTTTTACACAAGTTCCCGTGTAAAACTGAAATATCTAAATTTAGGAAATGACAACCTCCAATAAGTATATCAAGCATGTTTACCCTTTTCATTTGAAAAGAAGGCTTTAAATGAGTATATGTCAGATTTTTTAAACGACTATTTAATTGAAAGGTAAAGTTTAATTAGAATTACCTACCGAATTAGACTTATTACCGAATTTGTACTCACATGAGCAACACGACGGGTTCCACATGTAGAGCAGGATCTGCGTACCCTTCCGGAGCACCCGAGATCACCCCAGTTTTTGGTTGGGTTCGTGTTGCTCAGTCTTTAGTTTTCTATGTTGTGTTTTGTGTACTATTGTTTGTCTGTTGGTATTTTTCTCTTTTAGCCATGGCGTTGTCAGTTTATTTTCGACTTATGAGTTTGAATCTGCTATTTTTGGCCTCTGATGAGTCCATAATGGGCTCTATACTTCATAGTGTTTTGATTCACCAATTGGATGTTCAACTTACTTTTATATTCAGTGACACACTTTACAGAACAATTACATGTTTCGCATCTCCTATTTTATATTTTGGATATATATTTTTTTCGTTCCGATAGCACAAAATGATCTTTGACAATAATGAGGAA